TTTATTTTTTTTAAAGCAGCTATTTGTTACCAACAGGCACACACCAAAGTAATGTCTCCCCCGGAGGTGAATCTCTAACCCGCTTATGGGACTAATGTGAGCGCCAGACCCACCTGATCCCACAGCTGATCCCACTGTGGCTGCCCGTCAGCGCTGGGCTGCTGGGTGCACCTGTGATTTCTGTTCATTGCGTGTTATTCATGTAGTACTGGGTAGTTTTTAACGTGTTATTCGAGTAGCTTGCCTTGTTTCCCACTTGGAACTACGAGACCTTACCACTGAATCTTCCAGCCAGGACAGGTTTCCAGCGCTCTGATTAACCCCCCTATTTAACGCGCGGTTACAGTGGGCTCAGCCGGGCTGCTGCTCGCACGTGGCTGTTATTTATTTATTTACCTGCGTCCGGCACACGCTGTCCGCGGGCTCTGTCCGTGTGAGGGGCGTCAGCAGCCGCTGCTCCGCCCGCCCGCCCTCCTTCCTCCCGACGCGGCTGCTGCTCCAGCCCGCGGGGAAGGCTCCTCTGGGCACCGCCTGCGCTTCAGCCATTGCCGGAGAGCCCCGACCGGGCCGCCCCCCTGGAGCTCGGGCCGCCCCTCGGAGCCGCCTCTCCGGGCCGGGACCGCCCCTGGGAGCCGGGACCGCCCCTGGGAGCCGCCCTCAGCTCTAACGGCCGCGGAGCCCGCCTTCAGCGCGGGTCGAACCACCGCGCCGGAACGGGGGGGAGTCCCGGCATGGACCCTTCCTGCCCCGCCTGTTCCAATGGCGCCCCTCCAGGGGGTCCTTTCCAAACACCCCTCTGACTCTGCGCGATGGTCGCGGCTCCGTGACGCGCGCGCGCGGCCGCGCTCGAATCTGAGCGCGGGGCCCCTTTGGGGGGGCGGGACTGACCCGGGACCGCCATGAGGGACCCGCCGTGAGGGACCCGCCGTGAGGGACACACCGTGAGGGTCCCGCCGTGAGGGGACGGGACTGACCCGGGATCCACCTGAGGGGACGGGACTGACCCGGGATCCACCTGAGGGGACGGGGCTGACCCGGGACCGCCGTGAAGGGACCGGGAGGACCCGGGCCATGATCGCCGCCTCCGGCCGCCGCCGCGCCCGGGGCGAGCCCCCGGTGCGCTCGGTGCCTTTGAGCAGCGTCCCCGAGGGCACGCTGACGCCGCTGAAGGAGCTCCTGCAGGCCCAGGGCGCTGTCCCGGCCGGGCAGGACTCGCCGCCCGCGGGGCCGTGGCGGGGGGCGCGGGATGTCCCGCACGGCCGGGCCGGGCCCGCGGCAGAGCAGCCGCCGAAGCGCCGCGCCCCGGAGCCGCCCGGGCAGGAGACGCCGGCCAAGATCTTCCAGCGGATGAAGGAGCGGGCGGAGCGGCAGCGGGGCCGCGGGGGCGGCACCGACGGGATCCTGACCCGCGGCACCGGGCAGAGCCAGGGCACCGACGGGATCCTGACCCGCGGCACCGGGCAGGGCCGCACCGGCCCCGACGGGATCTTCCCGACCCCCAGCACCGGGCAGGGCCGGGGCACCATCGACGTAATCCTGACCCCCGGCACCGGGCAGAGCCAGGGCACCAACACCAACAGGATCCTGACCCGCGGCACCGGGCACAGCCGTGCCACCGACGGGATCCTGACCCGCGGCACTGAGCAGAGCCAGGGCACCGACGGGATCCTGACCCGCGGCACTGAGCAGAGCCAGGGCACCGACGGGATCCTGACCCGCGGCACTGAGCAGGGCCGCACCAGGCACAGCCGTGCCACCGAAGGGATCCTCTTGACCCCCAGCACTGGGCAGAACCAAGGCACCGACGGGATCCTGACCCGCGGCACCGGGCAGAGCCGTGCCACCGACGTGATCCTGACCCCCGGCACCGGGCAGAGCCAGGGCACCAACAGGATCCTGACCTCCAGCACCGGGCAGGGCCGGGGCACCATCGATGTAATCCTGACCCCCGGCACCGGGCAGAGTGAGAGCACCAACAGGATCCTGACCCACAGCACCGGGCAGAGCCAGGGCACCAACAGGATCCTGACCCACAGCACCGGGCAGAGCCATGCCACCGACGTGATCCTGACCCCCGGCACTGGGCAGGGCCGGGGCATCGCCCGGCCAGGACATGGTGAGTGCCACGGGCTCTCAGTGACTCCCGGAGAATGGTTTGTTTTCCTTCCAAACACTTGGAATAGAAGGTACAGAGCTGTAATTCTGAGTTCAGTTCACTTGTGCTGCAGTGACATCCCCGGTTGTCACATTTTCATAAGTCTTTTAATTATTTGCTTACATCAATCCATAGCCTGAATGACAGGAATTATTAATAGCTCCTTTTCCAGAAGAGTTTTGGTTATTCTGGAACACACTGGGGTCAGCTGTTTGCGGGGAAGAACTCTCAATGCTTTGCCAGTTAGTCTGAATCCTTCCTCCTTGGAAGGACCATGGAGAGGACAAACCCTGCGAAGCTCCATGAACCAGGGACCAGCAGAACAGAGCCTGGTCACACCTGGGAAACAATGGTTGTTCCACGGGAGAGCTGTCCCAGGTGTGAACACTGTCCCTGTGTGTCCTGCTCACGGCTCATCCAGGCTCTGCAGAAGGTGCCAGTGCACCTTGGTGGGGGTAGAAAACATTGGCAGCCAGCACTTGTTGTCCCCCTGATGGCTGGGGTTAAACAGAAAGGTTGGAATGGTGGGATTTTTAGTGCTGAAAGGTGTGTGTGGCACAGCTGATTTCCCTGCTCCTGACAGAGGATTCCCTCCTGTCCTGTTGTCACTGCCTTTGCCCCAGTCTGGCTCTGACTGCTCCCTGCCTTGTGTCTGTGAGTGGGACTGACCCACTGCAACACCTTCAAAGCCACTCGGTGACTAAACATCAAACCAAACAGTTGCTTTAACTGCTCCTACAGCCGGTACATAAGGGAGGGAGGTTCATGGAAAACTTGTTTGGGTGTGAAATCCCACTGGGGTATTTCCCTGATGGCTTTGCCAGTGCACCTTTAGTTTTTTCATTACAGACACAGTGAGATCCAGGGCACCCTCAGGGAGTTTGCAGGTGACATGGAGCTGAGTGTGACCCTTTTTATAACGAGGGTGGGGAGGCCCTGGAATAGAATTCCCAGAGAAGCTGTGGCTGCCCCTGGATCCCTGGAAGTGTCCAAGGCCAGGTTGGAGCAACCTGGGCTGGTGGAAGGTGTCCCTGCCCATGGCAGGGTTGGCACTGGATGGGCTTTGAGGTCCCTTCCCACCCAACTGGGATTTTGTGGGGTATTTTAATAAGCATCTCAACAAACCACATCCCCCCAGAATGTTTCTGTTCCCCAGACCAAGGAGGTTTTCCCTGTGGTTGCTTTGCAGGGTCAGTGTTCCCACGGGTCCCTCAGGCCCCACCTGCCACAGAGCCCCCTGTGCTGGAGACCCCCCAGAAGTTCTTCCTGCGCATAAAGGAGAAACTGCAGCAGCAGCAGCAGCACAAAGGTACTGGGGGCTGCCCTGGGAAACACTTCACAGCCTTCCTTGGCTCACACAACCAAGGCACTGGTGAGGCTGGAAAAGCCCTCTGACCCCATCGAGTCCAACCATCCCAAGGCCACCACTGCCCCGTGTCCCCAAGGGCTCCACCACAAGCCCGTTCCAGTGCTTAAATATCACTAACTTCTTTGTTGCACCTTTTGGTTTTTTTTCTGATGTGCAGATCCAACGCCTTCAAAGCCCATCCAGCAGAACATCCCTCCTTCCACAGCCACGGAGGAGCCTTCAGTCGGAGCTGCCTGTGCTGAGCAGCCCAGGACTGAGCCTCCCGAGGAAGTGGACACCAACAAGGAGGATGATGTGGACGTTTTCCTTGTGGAACCAATAGATGCCGAGGGTGAAATGTCTCAGAGTGCAGGCACTAGTTTTCTGAATGTAAATTCCACCCCTTCGAAAAACGGGGATCAGGCAACAGAGAAGTGGGGAAATGGAGGAGCAAAACGTACAGAGCTTCATCGAGACAGAAGGGAGTTGCAGCCCAGTGAAAAACAAGCTGCTCTGGGAGTGGAAAAGACCGTGGAGAGTAATTCCCCAAAGCCCTCCCGGTGCTTCTGCAGCATTATGCTGTCTAGTCCCACAGTCCACATTCCAAAGAAGCAGAAGCTGACAGAAAAGCCTGAGGACCCTGTGGACAAACCTTGTACTGACCAACCTGCTGGCAAAGCAGACAAAGAGGTGGGAGAAATTAATCCTTTAGGGGAAAGAGAGATTCCTCTGGGCTGTGTGTAGCTCATGGTTGTGGTTTTTCTTGTTAAAAGCAAGGAGCACTCAGAAGAGAACAAACCACTGTTTCTTTAGATTTTACTGGTAAATTTTCCCATCAAAAATATTTCTTTTTTACCTTACTCCAAGATGAGTTACTCCAAATGTTCAGGTTTTGGGGTTTTTTTTGGTGTAAAAGAGGCCCTTTTGGTTTACTGTGCACAAGCCACAGTGTGGGGTGAAAGAGTCCCAGTGTTGGTTCCAGCTCTTGGCTGCCCAGTCAGATCCAAGGAGGAGAGACCTTTCCCAGCTCTAGGCTAGGGATGAATCCATGAATGTGCTTGGCTTTCCTACAGAACATCTGGACTCCTTTTGAATCAAGTGGGACCAGAATCTTTTCCTAGGAGAGCAGTCTGCAGCCTGGCAGTATTCCCACCTTTCTGTATGGAGAGCAGTGTATCTGGAAGCATCCCTGTGATTCCCTGGAAACCTGGCACGAGCACACCTGCCTGAGGCTTGAGTTTCCCTTGTTCTCTGGAGGAGTCTGGGATTGCAGTCCCTGCAAATTAAGCGAGTGACTTGTTTTGTTCTCCCACGTGGCCAAGTGTGTTTGATGTGTTTCCTGTATTAAAAAAAAAATTCACCTTCGTGGTGAGCTTTGACTGAGACAAGGATCAGGTGGCCTTTAACAGTCAAGATTTGTAGCCAAGGAGAAGGGATGTTGTTACTGCATCTGAGCACTGAGGAGGTGCTGGCTGATAAACACAACTTTAAATGCTTTATTTTTTTTTTGTTTCTGTAACAGAAAAGCATCTGCCTGAGCAGCTGGAGGATTAAAGTGATGGAAGGCAACACGGCGATTTCTCTGGAGGGCAAACGCCAGTAAGACCCAGTTTTGTGGTTGAAGTGTAGTGTAAAACAGGCACGGCCTGGGGCACCCACCACCGAGGGATGGTGCAGAGCAATTCCTCTGTGTGGGCAAGAGGTGGCCAGACAAGGCCAGAGCCGTTCCTGTTCCAGGCTGGGGAAGGAAGCAGCACAGAGCATGTCCTGCCAGCACCGGCATCCCTCAGCAAACGTGCATCACTGCCACTCCCCTGGGAACAGCAGAGCTCCAGGTCAAACCCCCTTCTTTTGTGCAAAGGAAAGGTTGTGTTCCCCTTGCTCAGGCTCTGTCTCTCCCCAGGGACATGAAGGGCCTGCTGTGGCACAGCAATGCTGTCACCGAGCGCCTGGCCCACAACCAGCTGAGGACGTCCTCGGGCAGCCTCTACCTCCTGCAGGGCAAGATCGACTCTGCCACCATGAGGAGAGAAGGTGAGGGCTGGGGCACAGCAGCACTGCCACTGCTCAGGGCTGTCCTGGGGAGGGCTGGGGCACAGCAGCACTGCCACTGCTCAGGGCTGCCCTGGGGAGGGCTGGGGCACAGCAGCACTGCCACTGCTCAGGGCTGCCCTGGGGAGGGGAGGGATGGACCTACACAGCTGGGCTGGGCTGGGATCCTGTTCTCTGGCATGTTCTGCAGTGAGGAGCTGCATGTTAGTGCTTCCAGGCAGCCCCAGGGGCACAGAGATCAGCTGTGGCACAGATGAATGAATGCTTAGAATCACAGGATCTCCTGAGCTGGAAGGGACCCCCAAGGCCCATCCAGTCCAACCCCTGGCCCTGCCCAGGACACCCCAACAATCGCCCCCTGTCCATCAGAGCATTGTCCAAACCCTCCTGGAGCTCTGGCAGCCTTGGGGCCGTGCCCACTGCCAAACACCCTCTGGGGGAAGAGCCTTTCCGTGAGATCCAACCTGACCCTGCCCTTGGCATTATTTCCCTTAACACAGGTGTGCCCTGGGTGTGTGATCCCAGGTTTTCACTGAACACACCTGCACTCTGCTCCTTCGGGCCCAAAGATGTGTCTGTGTCTTCAGTGTTTCCTTCTTAACTCCTGGGATACCTGCTTGATAAACACCTGACCTGGCCGCTCTCTGACTTGAAGTTTTTGTTGGTTCCTCTGCTAAATACTTGTATTTGCTTTCATTTTACCATTCTGAGAGGAAGTAACAGCAATAGGTTTGTGAGCAGAGTGGCTCGAGTGCTGCAGAGGCTTCCTAAAGCCTGGGAGTGAATGGACTGTGCTGGGATGGAACTGGCTGGGTCAGTTCCTCTGATCTTTGGATTGAATGTCCTGGATATTTTCTCTACCCTCAGTGATTGAAAGTCTTGCTGAGCTGTTGCTGATGTGCCCTCTGTCCCCCCAGGGTTTCCCTACCGCTTCATCAAACGATTCACGTTTGGCTTTTCCAGGAGGTGGAAGGAGTATGTCCAGGAGTTCCTCGAGGAAAGGAGGAGGTAATTTCTGCTTCATTGCAATGTTCTTTAAAGTATTCATTGAGTTTTTGGGTTTAAGAACATTATACCAGAGAAGTGTGAAAGGCTGCAGATGTGTGCGTGAAGCCACTGCTGTGCTGTGCCAAGGGGCTTCTGCCCACAGGAAGGCTTCACTTTTACATCATTTGTTAAGGAACAGCTCTTTTAAATGCTTATTCTTTCTTTTCTTAAACTCCAAATCATTAGGAAAGACCGAAAACAAAACAGTGGTGTGGATGAAGATGAAGAGAGTGACACTGAGTTGGAAACTGCAGAAGGCTCAAAGAAGAAACCTGGAATGAAGAACACCACCTATGAAGTATTGCCAAGGAATGATGAAAACACTTGTGAGTGTTTGGTAATCATTTCCTTTGGAAAAGACAACTGGGGGTGGATGGAATGGGTTGTGGAAAAGCTCCTTATGTTGGTGTTGTTTCCAAGGAATTGCTGTAAAGCCACAGCCTGTTGAGCCCCCTGGTTTTGCTCGGCCTTAGAGAGCAGTCCCAGCCTTGTGGATGGTGACAGCTTTGGCCTTTAACTCACACCTTTCTCTGGGTTCTCTGTCCAGTGGGGTTTGGCCAAGCTCCACTGTGCTGTTTCTTGATGCTGCAATCAGATTTCCTTGCTAGCACTATAAAAGCTCCTTTATTTTTCTCTCTCCTCACTCCCATTTATTTGTCCCTCATCATCCACGTTTATTTTTCGCTCCCTTTTCTCTCAACAAGGAGCTGTTCAGTGTGACAACTTCTCTTTATCATTCCTGCCCCCTCCATGACTTTGCTAGTATTTATAACCTTGTAAACAGAGTGAAAGTCCTCACAGAGGGTGGTATAACCTGTGAAGGTGATCACTTCAGTGCTGTTTTTCCAATCAGAACACTTTCAAAAGAACCACTTGGGCTGAGTTTTACATTGTCCGTGTAGTCTGGTTTAAACACCACACTGCCTGTGAAGTGTGCAAGGCTCAATTTTCCATGCAATGTCTGGGACAAGCCCCTTATTTCCTGCTTTTCCCCTGCAGACACCACCCCAAGGCACAGCTCCCAGGGGAACGACTTGAGCAGGGTTTACACTCGCAGCGGGAGACAGGTCAGACCCCCCATGAACTTCTGGTGTGGGCAACGAGCCTTTGTGGATCAGAACCTTAATGTCACCCTGGAAGAGGGTGGAGTGGATTATCTCAGCCTGGTAAGGTTCCTTTGCATGTTGGTGCTTGAGTGTGTCTTAAATAGAATGAATAAAGTTGGCAAGGTGTGTAATGGAACCGGTGCAGCTCTCAGAGGTACCTGGAAGGGAAGGAAGCCTTGGGAGCAGGATAAAAACATTGTAAAACAAACTAACAGAATTGCCTTAGCTCTGTGCTGTCAGGGAATTGTTGTCTGTCAAATGGGGACAATGGGGAACTGGTTCTGGAAAAAGACTGGGGTTTTTGGAAAGATAATGTATCAGACAGGCAGTTGGTGAGGTCCCACCTCAAATCCTGAGGTCCTTCACTGCAGGATAGCCCTGGAGGGACTGGAGCATGTCCAGGGAAGGGAACAGAGCTGGGAAGGGGCTGGAGCAGCAGGAACAGCTGAGGGAGCTGGGGGGGCTCAGCCTGGAGCAAAAGAGATTAAATTAGGTTTAGATTAAATTGTTTTATTTTGAAGATGCTTAGTAGTGAAAAATCCCACAAAAAGACCAGTTTCATCTCTAAGAACAAACCGAAGGAAGTCATGAAGACAACAGAGGAAATGCCAAAAAGCCAAAATAAAGGTAACAACTCTTTTTTCCCTATTTTCCAGTGATTGATGGAATCAGTGGGATTGTGAGTTGGGTGCTGGAGCAGTGGGGTGGGGTCTGTTAATGCAAAGGATTTATTTAAGTCTTTTAATGGTCAGCTGCTTTTTGTTTGAAGAGCCATAGAGCAGCAGTGATGTGTAGTTTTACAGCTCCAAGTATAAACTGTGCTTGTCAAAGTGTTCTCTGATTGCATAATTGGGACACACATTTCTTTCCACACACTGAAATGCAGGGATTAGGGTTTCTTTGAGTTCACCAATCCAGTGACTTGGGGGCCTGGCTTGGCTTTTTAATGAGGATGAAATAAAAGCCATGACATGCCTGTGTAGGCGTGGAAAAAAAAAGGTCTATTAACGGAACTGTTGATAAAAATTTGTTGTTAATAAAATGTGGGCAACAGTAGAAGCCTGCAAACAGTGTGAAATGTCAAGCAGAAGTTTCTCTCCTAAAGCAGCTGCAATGTTTCCTGCAGAAAGGCTCTTTGGAGCAGGAGCAGAGCTTTTGGGAGGTGAGTGCCCAGGCAGCGTTCGGGAGTCATAGACAGCCCTTCCCGGGGCTCTGAGTTGGAAGTGCCTGGCAGGTAAAGCTCTGGCTGAGAGCACGGCCACGACTCACCCTGCACCCTGCCACTGTCTCTTCCAGGGGAAAGCAGGGAGAAGGGAGCCAGCTCCAAACGGGAATCTGAGCCTGCTG